GCACAAAGTGCAGAATAGCTAAATTTACTTCCTTTGTGGTGTAGTAATTATCAACAGATGTTGAACTTTTGCTGGTACATAAATAATCAAACACCATACACGCGTTCCTGATCAACAGGATCAACTTGCTAACATTCTTGATCTTTGTTTTACCTCTAACCTCTCACACTATTCATACTCAATTTTGGCCCCCTTAGGGTCTTCTGATCACAACCTTATTTCTATTAAATCAAACTGGGCACGACCACCTACCCCACCCCCCTCTAAACATCAACTATGGCACTATCGGAGGGCAAGCTGGCAATCCTTACGAGAATTCTTCACCGACTTTCCTTGGGATGAATGTTGCTTTTCCACTCGGGACGCCTCGGTATGTGCTGACAGCATTGCTGGGGCTATACGGGGCGGTATGAGTGCATTTATCCCATCTTCTACCAAAACTTTCACATTTCAATCATGGTTTGATCGGGCCCGCTCTCTTGCTTGCAGGGTGAGAGATAGGCATATCGAGCTATGAAACTATCTCCTTCTCCTATTACCCACACCTCTTTCATTACTTAGGAATCGTTGTAAGACTATTCTTCTCAGAGGCTGCTGAATTTGATTAAAAGAAAGACCGCTGTCCTGAATTTTCCTGTAATCCTTCTGTCTTTAACTAAAAACATTCGTAACAACTTCTTGCACGCTTTCTTTCTCCCCTCTTCCGGCCCCAATAACTTATAGCCAATTATCCCCTTATTATTAATCTTTTGGCTCCTTATTCTCCTGATTCCACCTTAGACTATCTCACTTCCATCCTCCTACCCTGAACCCACGTGACTTTACTGTAATCACCCAGGGTTACGTGTTATCCAGGTTGATGTGAATACATGGACCGACGAATACCCCTGCTCTGAGGGAGCAGCCCTGGCCCCGCGGTTACGCGCCTCTTGCCTTTTGCCTCAAAAAACTCAAACTTTTCCTTCTTCTGGAAGAACGCTTTGTCCAGCCCCAAGTATCCCAAGAAGGGTGACCATTCTAATCCTCAACCATTTCCATTGCCCAACTTCATCCCTCTCTAAGATTTTCGAAACTCTAACTCCCCATTTTCTCCGGGCCACCTTGAACGCCTCTCTTTGTCGGATCATCAGTATGGAGCCGCCAGGCAAGATTCCTACTGGTGATCTGCTCTCCATTGCACCCATCTTTGTCATCCTCTCTTAGGGATTATAGCGTGAACTTTTGTCGTGTGGTTTCTTGACATCTCCCAAAGCATTTGACAGGGTATGGCACAGTCTTTTGCTTTTCTAAACTTCCTTCGCTTTCCCCACTTTTGTTTTCATCTCTAGCTTCCCTTTGGAGAACCATCCATGGCAGTTAAGGTCGTGAGGAATCGATTTCTCGCCTTTTCTATCAGTAGTGTATGCCCCCACAGGGTTCTGTTCTTTCACCTACTCTTCCTTCTTTTTTATCAAGGATTTACTTCACACTACAACTAATTCTCTCCATTCTACGCTTGATGATTCTACTCCTCACATTTTCTTCTCCCTTCCCCAACTCTCTCAAAGTAGATCTTGTTTGTAGAACTGATATCATTACTTTATCAACGAGATCTGTGCAGCATCTCTGAATGGGGGAGGAAACTTGCTGGGTTCAATAGTAATAAACTCAATATTTACTAATTAGACGCATCTCCACCAATTACATTTCCCAGGATGCTAATATCCTCCCAAATTCTGAAATGTATATGTTAGGCCTCACCATTTCTCCAATATGTCCTGAAATCACACACCCTTAGGTATAACTAAAGCTGTCTCCCCGAAGCTGGGAATAAGCACAGATGCCTCAAGAGCTACTTAATTCTGAGCAGTTGCTCCAAGCATATAAGTGATCTATCTGTTCCCTAACTCTGGAGTACTGCTCTCATATTTGGGGTGGCTAATTTTCTGTCCAACTATTAGGATAGGAGGAATCAAAAGGTATTTCTGCCTTATTAACTCTCAACCTTTTAGCTGTCGGTCAATCTCTCTTCCTTTCTCTTCGGCCGCTAATGTTGTTTTACCTCTTTTTCTCTTTTATGGTGTACTAACAGGCAATGTTAGTGATTTGGCATCCTAGGTATCACGCAAGGCCGTGGGGTCTGCATCATTGCCAAGAGTGCCCACTGCTTTCTTCTGTGGATGTCAGGTCACACGGCTAACAACCCATTATAGTACCTCCTTTCTTTCTCACATTAAAATAAACTGTGGAATGCACTGCCTTCTTCTGTATTTCCATGCTCATACAATGTCTCACTCTTAAAAAGCTGGTTTTCCTGCTCCTTCGTGCTGTAGATTAATACAGCATAATTTTTTTCTACAGCACACCCGCTTTTGTTAATGCAGTTTCTACTCCTTTCCATGATTTCTCATTTATATGTACTCACAGAACCGGACTTTCACTTTCCATGCACATGGCGCCTCTTGCTTATATGGGTGCATCTACTCATATATATGTGAAGTAAAATTTTTTTTTTTTATTCATTTCATACAATTCATACAAATTACTCGCCAGAATATAATTTATACTGCTGGAATTCTACAATATGATGATCAGTTTTGTATATAAACACTATGGATTTTGCATTAGATATCCCACCCTAAGATCTACGTAATAATTTGGTTAACACAAAGCAAATATTTTATCATTTGTGCAAATATATGAAGTTTAGCATTCAAAAAATATTCCCCTGACCTACAAGGAATCCAGAAAACAATTATTATCCCAATATCTTGATATTTACAAACAAATATATTTTCTCCCCAAAGCTTCTGGGAGGAGGAGGGGGAGGGAAGGATCCACCCAGCTAGGGCGGGAGTATTTGATTGACAGATAGTGTCCCTTGAAGAAATATTTTCAGATGTATTTACTGAAGATATATGTTTTAGCTTATAAAATTCATACAATACTCTGGCTAAGAATATACTTATATTTAAATTTTACAATATATGATCATTTTGAATATAAACATCGCGGATTTTGCATTAGACATACAAATTTTTGTGATCTAATGTAACAACTTGCTTGCTAATAAAGCAACATTTTATCTTTAGCAAGTTATAGTTTAGTATTCAAAATATTCCTGACCTGGGTAAGGAACCCAGAATGTTTAAATTATATTATCCTTAACTTTAGTCTGAGATATATTATTTATTAAAAGAAAAATTAGTATTTTCTCCCAACATTTCTCTGGTAGGAGGAAGGTTGGGACAGACCCACCCAGTTGGCGTGAGGAGGAGGGGGAGGCACAGGGGTACTTGGATTGACAGATAGTGTCATGAAGAATATTTTTTTTTTTTTATTAACTGAAGATATTTGTTTTAGCCTGGTAAAATTCATACAAATTACTCTCACCAGAATTTAATTTACATTGCTGGAATTCTTACAATATGATGAACAAAAATTTTATCTTTTGTGCAAAATATATGAAGTTAACATTCAAAATATTCCCTGATCTGCAAGGAATCCAGAAGTGTCAATTATATTATCCTAACATTATCCGGAGGTATTATTTATTACTAAACGTTAACATTTCTCAGAGAGGTAGATGCTAGTGAGCTGGGAAGAGGGGTGGGGGGGGGGATTTGAGTCCATTATATGAATGGACATTAACCTGGCGACTGTATTTCTCTTAAATATTAATTGTGTGAGCATACCATCATAAAATTTGATGTCCTTTTTATTACAACATAGGTATTGTGTCGGAAAAAGTGGAGTTTGGGGGTCGGGCCAGTCTGTATTGGAATTAATCCCATATGTTCTGTTGTTCACTTTACGTGGTTTTCACTTTCTGCGGTACCCTGTGGGTTCAATTGACCGTGTAAATTGGGGTACTACTGTATTTACAATTTCTTTCCGTTCTTTTTTTTTCTCGCCCCCCAGGCTCCTTTGTGGGTCATTTGACCTGTGTCCAGGTGGGCTAATTCCCGTAAAAAACAAAAAAAAACAAAAAACATGTACTGTAAGGTCAAAAAACCACACCACCACCATATTCAATGGGTATAATTATCTGATGAGAAGTCACCTCATAAGTATGTACTGTAACATTTGCAGGCAAATGTTGGTCACATTAAATTTTAATTCAAACTTTGGTTATCCACAGATACAACAATATGTTACCTCACTGAGCATCTTGGTCCTGATCATTTATAACAAAGAATTACTCTTTTATAAACAAAAGGTCACTGGTCCACCTTTTGGACAATTTGGACCTGTAGCTACAACGATCACTCGTAATGGGTGTGATTATCTAATGGCATCTCTTTTAAGTAATGCAGGTGGTAATCACTCCGCTAAATCAAATACGTACAGTTATCCGTAAATTGGGCAATGAAGTGGGTAGTATATCCGTGAAATCCACTTTCTTCTCAGAAACTTCATTGTCAGAGTTAGATTTAAATTTTAATAGGTTTTAATCCTTTGTTATTGTGTATCTTGCATGTGTCAAAAATTAACCCAAACTGCTATAATAAACAATAAAATGATACATAGCGCTTCATCATATATAGTAGCACATATTTTAAGTTAACAAAATTGCTCTAGGCAATGCTAAGAATTAACCACACAATTCAGTCAGCCAGCTGACTCAGATGTGTGTGGCTGCTAAACTGTGCTGTGTGTACACCATGACATCACAGGTAGTGGCCTGGAGCACAGCTGGCTGGTGACTGTTTCAGTTATTGTTGCCCCCACACATTTGTTTACTTCCCACACATACACACCCATGCTCTACATTGTTTCTTTTATAGGTACATCCTGCTATAGTTGTACAATGTTCTACACCCACTAGATATATGACACCTGATCTCCTGCCTAAAAGAATGTGATGAAACAAAGTGTTTCAATATCTTATGACAACTCTTGTGTTGCTCATGTTACATCAAACACAAGTCTTCCCCCTCACAACATTTCACCCTGTGCAGTATATATGTATTTAGTTGTTTATTTATTTAATTTCATTAATGTTCTATCTTTTGGAACAGATGGGTGCTCTTGCTGTCAAATAATCTCATGGTGAGATGCCTTCCCTAGATGGTAATTTATCATTCTTAGGAGAGGTGCTTGTAGCCCTTCCACTTCACCCCCATCTTGCCAAGCTGATTGTGATTGGCTATCTGTTCGGTTGTGTCATGGAATGTAAGATTATTGGTGAGTAAAGATGTTATTCTCATTTAAGATCTTAAAATTTGTCTCTGTTTTCTGCCTCTTTGTTCTACAGGATCCATATGGGTTAATTAGTTTGTCATGGTAGAATGGATGCTTCACTTGTAACAGTACTTTGACTTAATGGATCATACTGTTTACTGTCAAGCATTGTATGCCTTCTTGTTTTGTATCCTAGTTAATTTATGGAGTTCTTTTGGCTGTCATAAAATTATTGTTGGGGATGGGGAAGACAACATATAGTGGGAAGATAGTTTTTATGATTAATAATAGATGGGTGAGTGTATAGGCTGTCTGGCCAAACTGTCTACACTGCTTTATAGATTTTATTATTAATTGTGTGAATGATTGTATTATAACAGCCACATTCTTTTTGTAAGGCAGTGCATAAATTTTTTGATAATCTGTATATTATAACTTACTCAAGTAGAATAAACATGTTAATTCCTTAGGGGTTACATTCCAAACCAAATCACCATTGAGGTTGAATCTGGGAAGTGAAGGAAGAAAAATTAACATTACATTAGCCTCTTACCACTGATTGGCCTGTAATCCACTTTGACTGTCAATCAGTACTCTGTTACACACTGTTGGCACAAACTGGGTATACACTGGCTCCAGAGTGTATCTGTGCCAGCATTGGTCAAGTCAGGTCTTGAATGATCTAACTCTTGGTGCTGTCTCTCATTGTCAGATTATTCATATTCATCTGACAGTGATGGCCAATAACAGGCACATTTTAACATTGCACAATATCAAATGCAACATATCACATTCTACTTTTTTATACCACAGTATTTTTTTCCACAATACATGTTTTTTAATTATCCTTTAGTTAGCTTAGGTGTGAAGTGTGATTTATTACACTATAATCTTTGTGTATTTAATGATGCCTTTGCTTTTAATCTATTTATTTTTTATTAACATCAAACACATTTGTTTAATTAGACCCAACTTATCAAATGCTACCTCACTGTAAATAGACTTTGTAAATTTTATCTGTCAATGGTTATTTGTTTTCTCTACTGTTATTTCTTTTCAACTGCTGGTTTGTCATTGAGAGGCATCCATGCCCAACCATTCCGAGATGAGCTAAATGCCTATCTTTCCAAGGTCTCCTGGGCTTGTGGCTCCTCTGATTGCATTGCTGTTCTCAACATCTATGGTGTAAAGATACACACACACACACACTTTATTATTATTATTTATATTTACTATCAGTATTTTGTCTTTTTAACTCATTCATATTATATGCCTATAGGCTGTACACTCCTACATACAAATGTTTGCAGACAATGACAAGTTATTTAGTTAAATTAAGAATCATACTGACTGCGAAGAACTGCAGAAAGATGTCTGTGAGATTCAATCTCAGTCAAAGGAATGGCTACTAAGATTCAATGTCAAGAAGTATAAGAGGCTGCACCTGTGTCATACCAAGGGTAAGGAGGCGTATCATATGTCCCAACAGGACAAAGAAACTACATTAATTGAGACAATGTGAAAATAACCTGGGTGTATATTTTGACTACGAGCCAAAGTTCTCGCTCTATTGCGAGAAGGTGAAGCAAGCAACTAAATTATTAGATCTTATAAGAAGGTCGTTGAGATGTAGACGGTTCGTCCCTTGTAACGATCTTCAAGAGTTAGGTGCTTCTCTGTCTGGTCACCGAGATATGCTAGGGACTGTCTGTGGATTGCAAATGTCCAAAGGAGGGCCAGCAGACCAATGCCCTTGCACTACGGCACCTCAGCTATCAAGAGAGATTATAGTGCCTGCAATTGCGTTGCTTTTACTACTCACGGGCAAGAGGTGACCTACCTTTGAGGTGTATAATCATCTCAAAGGGCACTTCCCAGCTGAGTGTGTTAATACCTGGAGATGGCAGAAGCTCGCCCCACTATGGATCACAGCTCAGAGTTGATGAAGCCGCAAACCCAGAAAACTGTGAGGGCAACTTTTTCGTAGTGAGACTTGTGAACTCTTGGAACAATCTGCCAGAGAGTGTTCAGATACATGCAGGAGTCAGTGCATGCCCAGTACTTGCCAACAGTGTGTAACAGAGATGTGACCGATCGCCAAAGCAGCTTTATGAGCCAATCAAAAGTGAAGAGGATAAAACGAAAATTAACTTTCTCTAAAATTGTTGTTCATTAAAAAGAATAGGTAAAAAATTTTTACTTGTTGTAGCTGAAATGCATTCAGATCTGCAACTAGCTGTGGTCATAGTATTACTATTACTGTTGAATTGCAGTGTAGTTGGCAATTCAAAGGTTTCTTAGTTCTATAAGTCTACGATCCTTGTAGTTGTGTAGCTCCATAGTGCCGAGGTGTTTATGAACGAGGAAGATGGCAATTGGATGAGAAACAATTGGTGGAGAGTACAAAAGTTGGAAAAAAATTTCCCATCCCCGGAATTTTCCGTAAAATGTACCCCTCAGTAAGTCTTTCCCAAAGTCTCAATATTCTAAAAAATTCTGCTTTTGTGAATAATTTTCTGACCTAATTTCAGTTACAGCCAGCGGAGATATAACCATAAATTACTGTACTTGAATTAACGAAAAATGTGAAATAACCAAATTCATAATATTTTAACATTATAGTTTTTGACTATTTCCTAATTTTTTATTGGATTAATTGTTTTTATTCTAACCAACAAACATACTCAGTTACCATCTCCTGGCTGCCACAAAAAAGTAATCTATTTGTAATTACAGTACACTGTACCCTGGTTAATTACAGTACACTGTACCCTGGTTAATTAAAGTGAACTGCACCCTTGTTAATTACAGTACAATGTACCCTTGTTAATTACAGTACACTGTACCCTTTATTAATTACAGTACACTGTACCCTTGTTAATTACAGTACAGGTTGTACCTCTAGTCCGGCAACCTCGCGACCTGGCCGGTGCCGGACCATGGAAATTCACCCTTTACCTGGATAGATACACTAGCGTAGCTGGGGGGGTCCGACCCGGGCGGCACTTTTGGGTCTGCTCATCACCCATATCTGCAGCTACTGGAGACGTTAATCCATCCCTTTGTATCGGCGGCAAGTTAATCCTTGTCGTGTTTGACCTAACACCTGACCCACATCTGTCTCCTACTATTCAGAACGAGTTTATAGAAATTTTGGGAGAAAACGTAAGAAGCAAAGTCATCAAGCAAGTAAAAGAAGCAAAGTACTTTTCCATGATATTCGACAGCACTCCTGATATTTCACATAAGGATCAAACGAGCCAAGTTTTACGCTATGTTATGATCGATGGAGATAAAGTGAAGGTTGTGGAATCATTTGTCGATTTCATTGAAACAAAAGGTAAAACCGCCGAGAATATTTCAATGATGATTTTGGAACAATTAGAGAAAGACGGAATTGATATTCAAAATTGTAGAGGGCAAGCATATGTTAATGCTGCGGTGATGGCTGGTGTTCATACTGGTGTTCAGAAACGTATCAAGGAAATTAATAAAAAAGCAGAATTTGTCGCTTGTACAAATCACTCGCTGAATTTGGCGGGTGTTCATGCGGCTTCTGTTGCTGTGAATTCTGTTACCTTTTTTGGATGTGTGGAACGTTTGTTTGTATTTTTTCCTTCATCAACCCATCGCTGGGATGTTCTAACTTCAGTCACTGGTCAAAGTGTCAAGCGCATAATAGAAACTCGGTGGAGTGCGAGGGGAGAAGCTGTAAGTGTTGTAAAGAAACATTTCTCAAAAATCTTAAGTGCCCTAGAAAAGTTAACTGGTGAAGAAGAAAATACAGCTACCAGGGCAGATGCTGGTGTTCTACTTGGTGCGTTGCAATCATTTTCCTTTTTGTGCTTTCTTGGCCTGTGGGGACCCGTCCTTCTAGAAATTAACGACACACAGACTTACCTCCAAACCAAGGGCTTGAACATACAACAATGTGATATAAAACTCAGGGCATTAGAAACATTTCTAGGTGAAAACAGGGACAAGCTAGTGAGTAATGGAGTTAACTATGCCAAAGAAATTTGCAATGATCTGGGGATAGTCATGGAGCGTCAGCGTCGACCCAAAAAGAAGAAACAAATGTTTGGTGAAGGATCACGAGATGCTGAATTGCCATACGACATTGAATTGAGGAGAGAAATGTTTTCTTCGCTGGACAGAGTGATCCAAGAAATAACTTTGAGATTTCAACAGCTTCATGAACTTGCTGAGAAATATGCCTCCCTTACCCCATTGAATCTTTTGGATGATAAATATGAGTGTCAAATAGATCACGATCACGACGACATTGATAAAGAGGAGTTCCTCGTTGAGAGAAAAAGACTTCAGCATTTTGTTGCTGTTGCTGCTATAACTATTAAAGACAGAATACAGACGTGGAAAGAAGGCCCCCTTGAACTTTTGCAGTTTATTCAAAAGTATAACCTTGGGAACTCGGTTCCAAATATAGTAATAATGCTGAGGATTTTCCTCACAATTGCTGTTAGTGTTGCTACCTGTGAGAGGAGTTTTTCGAAACTAAAACTGATCAAGAATTACTTAAGATCTACTATGAGCACCTTGCGGTTGAGAAATCTTGCCATACTGTCTATAGAGCGACAATTGACAGATGAAATAGTTTTTGACAATGTCATTGAAGAATTTGCCAACAAAAAAACAAGAAAAGTTACTTTGTAGAAAGTTGTAGTTTTCATTTCAGAAATAAAGATGGTCCTAATTTTTTACACTTTTTTACTTTTTTCCCTATCCTATATGTCGTTTTTGCTTTTTGTTTAACTGTTACTTATAAAGTTTAAGTATGTTTGGGGTGTATTTAAAGCATACTATATTTGAGTATGTGAAAGTAAAGTTGTAGTTTTAATTTCAGAAATAAAGATAGTCCTAATTTTTTACACTTTTTTACTTTTTTCCCTATCCTATATGTCGTTTTTGCTTTTTGTTTAACTGTTACTTATAAAGTTTAAGTATGTTTGGTGTGTATTTAAAGCATACTATATTTGAGTATGTGAAAGTACAGTAATATTATAATGGTACACAAACTATTTAATATATATATATATATATATATATATATATATATATATATATATATATATATATATATATATATATATATATATATATATATAGTTTGTGTATATATATATATATATATATATATATATATATATATATATATATATATATATATATATATATATATATATATATATATATATATATATATATATATATATAGAGTGAGTCACTGTAATATGTTATTTTTTGTGGGGAACGCAGGCAAACTCAAGGAGGCACTTTCCACACACACTCTAGCTCTACTGATCATATCAGAACTCACTGATGAAAATAATATAAGAAAATACACAGTATTAAAAGTAACTCGTTCACGGATTAGTCTTATATATTAACCGTTTTATATTCTAATTTCGAAAATATCTATATTTTTCGAGAAATTAGTAGATACT